GATGGACGCTGAGCTCCCAGTCCTGTCGAGCGTATGTATAGAAGGCGTTCCATAAGTACTTGAATTAGCCACCGTAAAACATCTCACCTCTTCTCAGAGGGCCATGGAGGGAGTGGGAACACATAGGCTTTGTGTCCAGAAGTCGGTCTCCCAGCTGCCACTGTGAGGAACCTTAGCTCCCTGCTCTCCTCCAACGTGGAAAATACAACTGCCTCAAAAGGGCCTTGGAAGAACTCTGTGGGATGGTTTGTGCATGTGGAGTGCCTAACGGATCTAAAATGCTTAGTCACTCACTGGACCTCGGTTTTCTCTTCTCTACAATGAGGGGCTAGAGATGATGTCAGAGAACCCCTCCCTGTGACACCCCAAGTCCTTCTGGCCCACGTGGCTTCCCGTGGCTAGCTTTGGAGGCAGCGGATACAGCCCACTCCTTCAGGGCTATCCCCCATCCCTTCTGGAGCCACCTGCCTTTTATGTCTTTGGCTTGCAGATATTGGACCCTGTGTTAAGCTTCCTGCAAGGAGCCCTGGTGGCACAGTGGTTAAGTGCTTGGCTGCTACCCAAAGGTCAGCAGTTTGAACTCAACAGCTCCTCTGTGGGAGAAAGATGAGGCAGACTGCATCCATAACTATGACAGCCTTGGAATCCCTATGGGGCAGTTCTACTGTGTCCTATATAGGATTGCTGGAGTGAGAATCAACTAGACAGCAGTAGGTTTGGCTAGGTTTGGTTTGTTAAGTTTCCTAACCAGTTGCCATCGAGTTGACCCAAACCCATGGCAATTTCATGTGTATCAGAACGAAACTAGTCCCCGGGTGGTGTAGATGGTGAATGCAGTTGGTTGCCAGCTGAAAAGTTGGTGGTTCGCTCCACCCATACGTGGATTGCTGGCCCGGGATGACTGTGAAATCACACGTGTGTTGCTTTAAGCCACTGGAGCAGTGGTACTTTGTTACACAGCAACAGACTAATACTCAAGTGGGAAGAAAGCCTCTCCACCACATTTTTTCCAAACTATAATGTTGTGTTCGAGGGGGCAGCATGGCAAATGAGATAATCCGCCATGTTCCTGCACCCCCTCCTCCTTCCTGTTTCAAGCCCTGTCAGGCCGGTACCAAACGGCCAGGGACAACTGTCAGATGTGATGTGCTCTGCAGCAGGCAGAAATGAATCACGGAAAGGGGACCCTCCCACTGGCCCCCTGAGAGTGTAAGAAGTTAGGGCTGGACTCAAGGTGCTCTGGGGTCAATGAGGGTAAAAGTACTCATGGCCACGACACTTCTGATCGTCAAATGATACCAGGGTGGAGAGAAGTTATAATGAAACCACGGCTAGCCGGGAAACACAGATGAACACTCAAGTGTTCCCTTTAATGTCATTTTATTTTCGTTTGTGGAGACCAGTGGAAGAAAAAAAACCTCATAGATCCTTCCGGACATTCTCAAGATATTGGGAAAATGAATGCAAAACTTGCATAGATGGGGATGCCCACCGTTTGGAACTTCAAGATCTGAAAGAGGAAACAAAACAAAGCACATGGGACCTTTAGGATGCACAACTGCCCTCTAGAAGGGGGAGGGGAAGGCGAATGAGTGTGTGTTGGTTCCCCACGCTGGCTGCACGTTCACATCACCTGGGGACTCTGGACCAAAATAATTTAACTAAAACTTAACTCAATAGAGGGTGCAGCTTGATGAATTTTCACCATGGAAGCACAGCTGTGTGGCTACCTCTCTAGTCAAGGTGAAGGACACTGCTGACACCTTCAAAGACCTCCTTCCTGTTCCCTCCTGACCAACACCTCAGCCTCTCCCAAGTTCCCACATAAGTAACTGCTGTTCCGATCTCTAACACCACAGAAAGTAACCTGGGAAGCTTCTTGAATTCCTGATACCTGTCACCCCCCCCCCCACAAAAAAAAAGAGTGTCTGGTCCCTGATCAGGGGGTGCTCAGGCCTGAGGAATTCTTAAACACCCCAGGCAATTCTGGTGTGGTGGGCTGAGACTTACTCACTGGGTTTTGTTTTGTGAACTTTTTTATTTTGGGGTGAAAAGTTTACAGAACAAATTCCTTTTCTATTCAATAATATATTGTGTTTCGTGACACTGCTTGCAATCTGCTCAATGCGACAGCACTCTCCCCACCTCCTCCCTGGGCTCCCTGTTCCCATCCATCCTTCTTTCCCGTCTCCTCCCACACGAGACCCAAAGGGCAGCATTTACCCTCTGGTTTAAGGCAACTCTCGCTGCTTCTAGGGCAGAGAGCAAGGCTCCTGGACCTCCTAGAATTTACAGCTCAAAGACTTCTTCCTCCAACTACAAATTAGGCTCTCTGGAACGTTCTGGACAGTGCAGTCAGCAGCCAGCCTAGGTAGCTTAGCTGTCCACTGGGATAGGTGAGGCGAGTGCCCTTTGAGCTAGGTGGGCCTGGGCTGTGGATTTTGGTGGAACTGATGGGGTGTGACAGGCACCAGTGGCAGTGGAACAGCAGATGCACTCTGCTGGACCCCCCCCCCCTGCAAAAAACACATTTTTTGATGTTTCTAAAATGGATCTGGAGTGACCCAAAGCAAGCAGTCTGATTTGGGATATAGTTATCAGTTACCCCAGCATTTCGTTCTAGAAGGTTCTCTTGATCCTCATGTGCAGGTGTGATGAGCCTTAAGGAACTGAGCAAGCCACCTGTGTACACCCCTGGAGATAACCAGTCACCCCCAAAAAGGGGGGAAAGAGATGCAGAGAAAGAGTGAAAGGGAACTAAAAGCAAAAGACAAACCCTTACGTGGCTTTTGCAGGACGGCTTGCGGAGCCCAAACTTCTGTGTGATCTGGTTGGTCCTGAACTCCTGCCACCTGTCGCCCACTAGGGTTTGGGCTCTGATTTCATACTTCACCAAGCGTTCCGCTCGCATGTTCACCAGGCTGTCCTCACAGAGCGGGGAGGAGAATTCCAAGTCTGTGTGTCTTATTCTCTGCAAAGAGGGTGACCCTTCAGGTGGAACTGTGACTGGGATGACCCACAGGAAATGAAACCTGGTCTCTGGCATGGAGACCCTCACATGTAACATGTGCATAGAGCAAGAGGGCATCTCCCAAGTGGTGCCATTTCCTTGGGTCACAGCCATGAGTTGACACATGAGCCTTCACCATACCCCATACTCAAACCATGGCCAATGGGCTAGGGTTTGGCCTGTCCAAAAAAATGCCATGAAGTTAATCTGTACTGAATTGGAAGGTCTTCATGATCACTTTGCCCAAATTTAAAAACCAACATACTATGCCTGTGAGCATTCTGATACAGGTTATTAGATAATTCATCCCTTCCATCCAGACAATCCATTGTGTAGGGGACTTCATAGCATGCCTGAGTCACTGAAGACCAAGAACTAGGGCCCAAGGAATCAAGTGACTTCTTAAGGGCACTGATCGAGGTAGTGGCAAAGCTGGGGCTAAAGTCTGCTTTCCTCATTCACGCATCCATTCCTTCGTCCAGCAGTCCCATCAGCCAGCCATTTAAAGCTCCCTTGTGGTGGCACAGTGGTTCAACGCTCAGCTACTAACCAAAAGGTCGGCAGTTCAAACCTACCAGCCCCTCTATGGAAGAAAGATGTGGCCGTCTACTTCTGTAAAGACTTACAGCCTTGGAAAACCTGTGCTGTGCTATGAGTTGGCATTGACTTGACAGCAGTGGAATGTTCCAGGGACTATGCTTGGCAGTGGTAATACAAGCGTTCCTTAGAAGATATGGCTTCTCAAGGAGCATGCACTTAGAGAGAAGAGACTTAGAAGCACATCCCAAGTGGGACACACCCCTGTCATCTTCCTCCTCCTCCTTTTCCTCCTCATCATCACCATGAACACATACAATGTTTCATGCGTCAGGCCCCGTTCCAGCCCTTTGCATAAATGAACACTTTGATCTCACAACCATCCAGTAAGGTAGGTCCTATTACTTCCTCCATGTTGAAGGTGAGGACACAGACACAGGGAAGCCCATGGGCCTTACCAAGGCCATATGCTTGACAGGGGCACGGACTGCAGACTCTGTTCTCCCACATGACACTCTCCTGCCCCTAAAGTCCAGCGGGAGTATCGAGGTGAAGTTGCCCACCCTGCCAACTCCTGGCGTCCTGTCCGCTGCATTTCCAATGGTGGTCACCCAACAAGCAAGGTAAGTATGGGCTTTCTTATGTTTACACTGTTCACTACAGATGAGTAAGTAAGCATAAGTATGCCCTTGTTTATGTTGCTTATTGAATACTCAGCCCCATGTACTTTGACATGCTAAGCAAGATCATTCCATCTCCCACCTGCCTGGCACTACCCCCCCCCATGGAAGAACAGCTATCTGTAAAGCATCAGCCATGAGGTACCAACTGCAGGGAACTAAGCCCCAAATGTAAGTCAGAAGAGTAGGATTTTATCAAGTAGAAGCCATCTGAACATGAAGCTGTAACTCTGAGACCCTCCTCTGTTAAATGTGTTAATCGTACCTGGCTCCCAAGGTTGTCGCATGAATTAAATGATGGTAAATGATATCACCTGGCTTACTACATTTTTTAAAAAACACTGCCATCAACTTGATTCTGACTCATAGCAACCCTACAGGACAGAATAGAACTGCCCTATAAACGCTATACATCTTTATGAAAGCCGACTGCCTCATCTTTCTCCCACGGAGTGGCCAGTGGGTTTGAACTGCTGACCTTTTGGTTAGCAGCCAGATGCTTCAATCACTGCAGCACCAGGGCTCCTTGCTTACAACACAGTCCATATGAATGATTAATTAGTGACTACTCAGTTACGATGACTTCAGTATTAATTGACTGAATCTAACAGTCTTTGGAGGCTTACCTGCCTTGTGCTCTGTCTTACCTGCATATAAAAACTATAAGAGGAAACATCATGTCTGACTCCTTTTATCTCAAAGAAGAACCCGTACACAGCAATCATTTCTGAATGAGTTGTATATTCCTAAATTGTGGAAGACGAACGACAAAGGGAAGAGAAAAACGTTCACTCTTCAGAGGTGTGAAGCAGAGCAAGACAAATTCCAGCTACAACAACAAAAGCGACTCATCTGACCACTGATCTCAAAAGGAAAATACAAGAGCAATTTTGGCCCAGGAAGTGCAACTGCAAGGACTTCACAGGTCCTGAGGTGAGCACTCAGTGACAAAATGGTTTACTTTGCACAAGGTCCTTAGTGAGGAAAAGGAGGAGCAAGGCATGTTTTCAGATGACTTGTGGCCTGCAGACTTTAAAAGAAAGTCTTGTTCCAATTTGATGGGTCTAAGAGACTCTCACAGGCCCTGGTTGTGCATTGGTTAAGTACTCGACTACTAACTGACAGGTTGGCAGTTCGAACCCACCTGCTGCTCTGCAGGAGAAAAGACCTGGTGATCTCCCGTAAAGATTGCAGCCTGGGAAGCCCTGTGTGGCAGCTCTTCTCTACCCTGTGGGGTCACTGTGAGTCAGAGTCAGCTCAGTGGCAGTAAGAGATTCTGTAAAGTCATAGCACTCGCAAGAGGCCCTGGCCCTTGCAGTCTATACTCTGTCTGTCCACAGAGTCTGCAGGTCTCTACAGCTAAGGCGGGACCCAGCCCACTCAGGCCTGGCCTAGAGGGAAGTCTATGCTAGATTCAGGGTCCCAAGTCCCTGAATTCTTTGGAGATCACCTCTAGGAGGGCTCTAAGGAAGCCAGCAGTTTCCCAGAGAATTGTACATATTACAGAGAACCTAGGGTGAACCCACCAACTCCTGACCCTCCCCTGGACACTAAGTTCTGAGGGGCTTTCAGTCAAGGTCCTCAACTGACAAGCCACTCCTCTGATTCTGGGCTCCATCAAAAATAGCCACCCTGACTAGTTTCATCCCTGCAACCTTAAACCTGGATTCCCAATGGGGCCTCCTGTTGAGCCAACTGGCAGCTGCTGATGTGTGTGGGACAGAGGGTGACAGATTCATCCCAGTTGGTCCTGTCCTTTCCCAGCTTTAGGAATGAAAGTTCCAAATCCCAGAGAAATCCCTCAGTTTTGGGAAAACCAGGATAGTTAGTTACTGGGTCATAAAGGATTGACCTTGCCCAAAGAAAGGTTTTTTAGTTAACCTCCTAGCCCTTGGAATGTCCTGTCTGATAAAAGTGTCTTTGTTTACCTGGCATCTTGGGCCACATCAGGTAGTCTATACTAACAATGTGATTAATGGTGGGGTTCTTGGGCCACACAGTAGCAGCTTGACCACTGGAGGGGCTGGAGACGAAGGTCAGCCAAGTGGGTGGTCGATCATGTCCACGTGACCACCTCCAATGGACACCCTAGACACCTGGGCTTGAACAAGCTTCCCTGGCTGCCATACTGTGTGTGTGCTGTCACACACGGTTGCTAGAAAAAGTCAATGCTTTCCGCATCACTCCACTGGGAGAGGACAACTGGAAGCTCGCACCTGGTCTCTCCTGGATCCTGCCCTGTGTGCCTCTTCCCTTTGTTGATTTTAACCTGTGTCCTTTCATTGCAATAAACTGTAACCATAAGGGTAACAGCTTCGCCAAGTCCTTCTAGTGAATACTCTGAACCTTGGGGACTTCCTAAATTGCAGTCATCGTAGCAGGGAAATTTGGGACAGGCACATCAGATTACTGAATATCCATCCTGTCCCAGGCCCTATCTTGTTAAGTCTGTCTAGGAGGCAGTGAGCAGACAGAGGAGACAGCGAAGGCTGCCTCTTCTCCTCTGACCCTGCTCCTGGAGAGTAAGAAGTGACTACCCACTGTGTACAAAGGTCCTTAACCAACACAAGAAGGGACATTCTTCACCTTGTATGGGTCCAGTTCTCAGTACCTGGGTAAAGAACATCCCAAATCGCACAGCCTGGGTGGCGAGATCTTTCAACTGGGCCATGTCACCCCCGCTCTCAAGCTGAAAGGGAAGCACAGTTTACCAGCAGCCTAGTCCCCTAGAAATGAGCACCCTCAGCATCTTCATGTCCTCGATGGCCCTCTGATCCCACAAACCTTGCCATATTCAACAGGCCCTTTTCTCACTGGACTCCATCTTCAGCCACTCACCTGGCACCCTGTATTTACTGAAGACCAGCCATGTGCCAGGTACAGCGCCAAGTGCTTTTAGGGGATGCAAAGATTAAAAAAAAAAACAAAAAAAAAAACCATGCCTCCAAGCAGTCCCACTGGGGAATAGAGTAACTGCTGTCAAAGTCAAGCAAGTACTTGAGTGGCACACGGCAGCTGCATGGTGCAGTGGGGAGGGGATGGAGCCAGACTTCAGCAAGGTGAGATTACATGGGGGACAAAGCGAAGAGGTGGGCAGAGAGGGATCGGAATTGCACAGAGGGAGGCAGCTGTATTCCTGAGGCGTCCAGGCCCCAGGAACTGTCCTCTCTTGGTCACCCCTCCTTTGCTCTGGCCCCTGTCATTCCTCAGAGAAGCCCTGGTCCATGGAATCTTCCTCTGCTTTGAAGGCAGTGCTGGGCACTGTGGTTGGCCTATAACAATAGGTGTCTGTTGTGCTGAATTGAATTTTAACTAGTGACGCAGAAGTCTCCAGAATGCAAACACTGCCCTGCTTCATCTCTAAGAGCACATGATGGGAAACACACAAGAAAGATGGCAGTTTGCACAGACAATTCACAAAGGGGGAAATACTACATGGAAAAATATCCATCTTTATGAATCAAGGAAATGCATATCAAAACATGAAGTGCCATTGTTCACTTCTCAATGAACAACAGTGATTTAAAATGATAATGCTCTACGCTGATGCAGATGTGCAAAGCAAGCCATTCCATGAACTGCTGGAGGATGAGTAAATGGGCCCCAAATCTGTTCAAGAACAAACTCTGTATTAAGAACAAATGCACATTCCTTTCTGTGCCACTATTTCTACTCTTGAAAATCCCCTGGAAGAAAATGATTCTAAATATAGTAAAATCAACCAGGAGGTGATTCACCATCCTGTCAACTATAATGGTTAGCAATTAGAAATATCCTAAATTTTCTACAGTAAACGAATGACAAGGTAGCATTTGTTAGGGGACATCCTCTTGGTGGAACAGTTTCTAGTTATTAAAAATGGTGTTAGGAAGTGAGTTAAACTAAGTGCATTAAAAAAAAAAAAAAAAAAGCCCAGAAAACAAAAAGCAACTGAAAGGTAATAAATACAGTGAGATGTTAACAGTGGTTGTCTTTGAGTGATGGCTCTAAGGGTTTTGTCCCCCCCCCCTTTCTTAAATTTCTCTGCATTTTTTAAACATAAAATTTAAATTTAAAAGCAAATATTACATCTGAGTTTGTCAGGAAACTCAAGGGCGGTGTGATGGGCAGATGCCCTAAGTAGCTAGAGTCTAAGGTGAGACCTCCTCCCTCTTCCGTTGCCTGGTCCTTCCTACTCCATGCACAGGAAGATCTGAATATATGCTGACCTCAAGGGCCCAGAAGTTTCAAATGAAAAACATCCAAAAAAAGCAAAGTCAGAAAGGCAATAAATTTTGAGCATGGTAAGCACCGGCGACTCACCGCTTGGTAATGGTTGGCTGTGATTCGGATCAACACGGCCTCCGGGAAAAGGTTAATGTGTCGTAACTCCTCCAGATCCTTGCCTTGGAAGATACACAGAGAGGACGTTCAGAAGGTTTTTCCATTACAGAACTTCAAAAATCACATTTACAGAAAGAAAAGGAGGAAGTGAAGAATGGAGGGTGAAAGGAAAAGTGTGGGTTTTATTTGGGATTTGATTAAGAAAACATCACGGAAACACTATGGTTGTGTTCAGTCTCAATTACTTTTGTACCTCAAATTATTCTCTTTAAAAAATGTATACACACGATTCAGAAACAGATAGTGGTGATGGTTGCATAATTCATGTCACTGAAGTGTGTATGTGAACATGGCTGAAATGGCAAAGGTTTTGTTAGATACATTTTGCCACAATACAAAATAACCTGCACATAAATTTCCAATGGAATGAATGAATGCATTCACTTTACATTGAGACTTTTCTATACGAGACGTTAATATTTTAAGTATAATTTATATTCCCAATAGTCCTGCAGGAAGGTATCACCACCACTCAGACACCCCTGGGGAGTTCTTGTGAGTGGCTGTTGAAGGAGAAGCCATTGGTAGCCCTCAAAGTACAGCTCTAACTAGCCACCCACACTCCCCAAAGATATTTCAGTTCTAACAGTAGTATGGGAAAAAAATTATTACTGAGAAAAAAGGAGGAAGAGCAAGGGTATGCTTGGTCCAGTTTTCATTTTATTTGTGTGTGTATGTGACAAAAAGGAATTGCTTCTGTTTTAATTTTTCTTCCCACACTTTCCTCTGGGAAGACCACTAGCATAGGAATCACTAAGGTGAGAAGTACCAAATGGAACATTACAGAACACTTTCTTCCAAAGTGCCCACAACTTCCTGGCTGCAAGTCCTGCCTGGAAATGGAGGTGTGAGATTGGAGATTTGGAATGTCTAGAAGCAACTTGGAAAAAACTACCTGGCTCTGTTGACCATCCCTGGGTTTCAGATCTATTTGTTATATTTGGATAGCTGAAATGGTGTTGAAAAGGTCTCACATAGCCTTTTAGGCACAAAGGTCTCACTGGGGGCCTCCTGGGCTGTTCCAAAACACACTCCCCAGTAGTCCCTCCTCTTTGCAGGCCCCAGTTGCCTTTCCCCACAGTGCCCGGAGCAGGAGGGTGAAGGAACACAGCCTGTGTCTGCAGCACAGACCCTACATTGTCTCCAAACTGCTAAACAGATGAGCTACTACATGGCAATCAAACAACCTGTGGCAGCTCTGCTCTGCTTCCTCTCACATCAGCCCCTTCCACCCACCATCTTATCTCACGGAAGCCTGGTTGTTCCCATTTTACAGACAAGGAAACTGAGTCTATAAAAAACAGCTGGGAGGTGACAGCTTAGTACTCATTCCCTTTGGAAACATCTGGTGGGGCTCCCCCAGGAGTGGCTGCAGGGGGGAAGGTCCTGCTTTCCCGTGAATTGGCGATTCCCACACTCGTGTGGGCCAGGACTTACCTCTGGTGATGCCATGCAGACGCAGACAGAGAAAGAGTGGCATCCAGGTTTGTCCTGGGTCCTGGTCCAAAAAGGCACAGTTCCTGGGAAAGCTTAGCAGAGGCAGAGAAGGAAATGCCTTCAGATGAACTCTCCTTGGGACCAGCCAAGGCATCCCTGGGTGATGCAAAGTGTCAATATGCTTGGCTGCTAACCAAAAGGCCATGGGTTCAAGGCCACCCAGAGGCACCTTGGAAGAAAGGTCCGGTGATCTACCCCCCAAAAATCAGCCATTGAAAACCCTGTGGAGCACAGCTGTACTCAGACACACATGAGGTCACCATGAGTTGGAATCAACTCGGTGGCAACTAGTCATAAGTAAGGGGATGCCGAGGAGACTAGGAGCTTCCCCAGCTGGGGGCAGATGGCACCCAGCTCTCTCTGATGCATGGCAGCATCAGATAACTTTGTGGAGTTACCTGGAAATTATAATAAGGCAAATGGTTATTCCCTTCTGTGTACACAGTAGGTACCAAGCAAATACTTCTTGCATGACTGACAGGAATACATGTTATGTTTATAGAGGGTTTTAATGTACATGCTCTCACTTGAGGCTTGAAAACTTCCTGTGGGGCCAACAGGGCAGGTATCATGAGCTCCGTTTTTCAGATGAAGAAACAAAGGTTCAGCCAGAACTTGAACTCAGGACTTCTGAGCGAATCAGGCACTTCAAAAATACTGTTGTTGTTGTTGTTGTTATGTGCCGTTGAGTTGGCCCGACTCATAGTGACCCCTCCTTGGGTTTCCGAGGCAGTATCACTACAGAAGTAGGATTGCCCAACCTTCCTTCCGAGGAGTGGCTGGTGGGTTTGAACCGCCAGCCTTCTGGTTAAAGTGCCTTAGGCACTATGCTACCAGAGCTCCTTCAAAAGTGCTGTTGTTGTTGTTATGTGCTGTCGAGTCGGACCTGACTCATAGCGACCCCTCCTTGGGTTGCCAAAGCAGTATCACTATGGAAGTAGATAGCCCAACTTTCCTTCCGAGGAGTGGCTGGTGGGTTTGAACTGCCAGCCTTCGTGTTAGCAGTCAAGTGCCTTAGGCACTATGCTACCAGAGCTCCTCAAAAGTGCTAGTTGGTAGAATTAAAAAAAGGAATAAGCTCGGGGTAGGGGGTGGCTAGCTTTAGCAGCTGGTTTTGCCATCAGCTGGGCACAGTCAGTGCTCAGCTGAACTCCAGTTAATTTCCACATGTGGCTGGAGGGCAGAGCTGGGTGGAGAAGACCCACGCCATCCCCCAGAAGACAGGCACACGCAGACACACACCCACCACCCTTGTTCTGACACAACTTGCTTCATAAAATGGCCACTTCTCACAAATGAGGACAACAGGATCATTTTTCCAACTCCCTTCAGAAATGCAAAGTCACTCCCTCGAGGCAGAGCCCGTGGAAGCCCAGCCAAGGGCCCTCTGGGATGACTTTTCCATGAATCAAGAGCGAGGTCCAAATCACAGCCTACCCGGCTGGGCTCACCTGCCCAGAGCCACTTTATCTTCACAAGATCTGGGAATTCCTGGGGTTCTGGCAACTCCTCCACATCTCAGCAGCCCCAGAAGAGAGGGCTGGGGGTGCAGAGGAGCTGCGAGAGGGGATGGGAAAGGGATGCAAGATGAGCACACTCTGACTCAATGATTATTATTGATTAGAATCCACCATGTGCCTGCTCTAGGGATGGACAGATCAGACATCAGTAAAGGAAGGGGCTGTTGACCCTGGAACCAACCGTCTGTGGATGTGGCCTGTGGAAGGCTCCCCAGAGCTCTGCATGTCTCTGAGAACATAGATCTGGGCCGAACAAAGAACGTCTTCACACCACGGGCCACTCTTGGGATCTCCTTCCACAGGCCGCTCTGGGGGCCTCCTCCTTTTCTGTCTCTCTCTCACCAATTACAGCATCACAGCCAGCCAGGGTGGCAGCAGGTGCTGAGAAGGAAGAAGGGATGGAGCTGAGGAGCCTCCCTGACTAGCGAGTGCTCCCGTGATGAGCCAGTGCTGGGCGAATGAGCAGTCCTCCTGGCAAGGGCTTCCACAGGCTCCGGTGAGCGTGTCTGGAGTGGCATGTCTAACACAATCCAGTCAGCCTCGGAGGAAGGGGACAGGCCTGGAGGAAAGCATTTCCCCTGCAGCCCAGAAGCAGCAAGACTGCCACCCTGCTGCTTTGTGTGGATTGAGAGGCCACTAGGCTGTGGGGGCACAGGAAGGAACCAAAGCCCTGATTTCTCCCTTTGAGGGGCTCCTAGAGCCAAAGTCCACCAGGTAGGACCCTTCTCACCCAGAGAACTCAGGAAGAGCTTTGCTGAGACAGATGATTAGACTTTATGACCCCACTGGGCTACAGGGACATGGTATTGATTGCTACCACCATGGCTGCCTGGGAGGAGTCATGCGTCGTGAACTCATTGTCTAGCCAGGCTTCAGGTCCCCATACTTGGGCCCTGGATCAGACAGAACAGGTTCTAGTCTTGTAGCTGCAGCTCTCTGAGCCTCAGTTTCTTTCTCTGTCCAGTGGGGGCAATAGCCACTCTTTCCCCACTGGGGATCTGGGAGAAGGAAAGGTAAGAGTGCTTGGGAAGCAGCCGGCACCCGGAAGAGTGAGTTCTTGATGCCCACTAACTGCTGTTACCACAGTGCTTGTGATTAGCACCGTCATACTCCCATCCAGGCAAAAGACCTGGACTCACGTGTGGGACTGTCCTTGGGAGCATTCATTATCACCAGAAACATGGGCGCCCCCAAAGGAAGAAAACAGTAGCCTCCACTGCCAATTTTCCAGAAGCTCAAAGGATTGGAGAGGTATACTCCAACCCCAAGGAGCTGTGGTGGCACAGTGGTTAAGCACTCAGATGCTAATCAAAATGTAGGTGGGTTAAAAATCCATGGGAGAAATATGTGGCACTCAGCTTCCATAAAGATGACAGCCTTGGAAACCCTGTGGGTGCAGTTCTACTCTGTCCTGTGGGGTCACTGTGAGTCAGAATCAATTTGACGGCAATGGGTTTGATTTTGGTCCAATTTCCCACAGTCAGTCAGTCAGTCAGTCAGTATAGTCTTGCCCTTGGAGCCTGGTGAGCTCCATTGTTGCCAGGAGAGCCAGGGTTCTGATGGAGCCTCTGAGTTCAGCCCAGCACATTGTCCACCTGACGTGGTGCCTCTCAGTTGTCTTGGTGCAGAGGCATCTGCTACTCTTTGGCCCAATGATGAGCATATATGTGCCTGATACCATCTAAAGCAGGAGGAAGTGGCTGCTAAGCCTAGGACTTCTTGCAAGGCTATGTGGGTAGAATCAGAGGCTAGCCTGATGATTTCCCTTGGTGCAAAGTTCTGTCTGTGCAAAGACCTCTTACACTTACTTTTCTGGGACAAACTTCAGGCATGCTTTCTGCCTTCCAAAGTTTACCAGGGAACCCTTGGGGCTAGTGGTCTCCACTCCTCCAGAGCAAAACAGAAAGTAGGAAACCAAAGACTCACAGAAGAAACTAGTTTACAAGACAAATTGTCTACAGGAACCATGGCCTGTCTACCCTGAGATCAGAAGAATTAGATGGTGCCCACCTACCACTACAATAGATGGGCCCTGATAGAATGAAAAAAAAAAACAAACAAAAAAAAACCGTGGAACAGAACCTCAAATTCCTAAACAACAATAACGGGAAACAAAACGAGACCTACTGGTTAAGACTGGAGGACTCCCCAAGAGTATTGCCCTGAGACTCTTCAAACCTTGAACCAAAATTAACCCCTGAGGTCACCTTGTAGCTAAATAATAAATTGGCTCAAAAAACACAAAAAGCACCCATAAGTACTTTGCTCCTTTAAAAAATCACCTATATGAGACCAAATGGTCAACAATTATTTGAAAACAAAGATGAGAAGGGGTGGAGAAACTAGATTAATGGAAATGGAATAACCAGAATGGAAACAATCAGACTGTTCACCCATTGTGAAGAATGTGATCAATGTCTCTGAACAGCTTGTGCAGAAATTGTTGAATGAGAATCTAAACTGCTGTGTAAAGCTTCACCAAAAACAGAATGAAATATTATTAATAAAAAGAAAATGAAACCCTTGGGACATGACCCTTTGGGGAAGGCAGTTTACAGTTACTTGATACTGAGAGGCACACCCTGGGTTGGCTCTGGGTCCTGCTCACAGACCCTGGGGACAGATCCCCTGGGGACAGATCCCCTGTAGACCGCCTGAGTCTCCTCTGACTGGGACAGACATGTGACTCGAGATGCCCACAGCCACACCCTTCTCACTTCCTCCATCCCGTCATCTGCTGGAATCACTCACCCTCCCTGCTGAGCCTAAGACCCACGCCCTGTAAACCCAGCACTTCAAACTGTAGCCTGAAAAAACAAACTTTGTGAATATTACTCAGTCATGAAGAGAAATGAAATACATGTTAGGATGACGTGGATGAACCTTGAAAATTTGATGCTGGAAGAAATAAACCAGACACAAAAAGACAAATGTTACATGACTCCACGTCTATGAAATGCCTGGAACAGGCCAATGCATAGGGACAAAAAGTAGACTGGAGGTCACAAGGGGCTGGAGAGGGTGTGGGGACAGAAGAGGGGAGCTACTGCTCAGTGGGTACAAAGTTTCTGTTGGGAGGGATGAAAACTTTTTAGAAATGAACAGTGGATGATGGTTGACAAAATTGTAGCTGCTAACGCCACTGGATCGTGCACTTAAAAATGATTAACATGACACTGTTTATATTTAACCACGATGTATTCTTCAAAGTTAGGTAACCTCAACACACACACACACACACACACACACACTTTGTGGGCAATAACGCACAATGAGAAGAGAACTGTGTTGTCTTCAAAATGTTAGTCTGTGTAGATGGCCTGGGCACCTTCCCAAAGAACCAAGAAATGTCCCTCTGCCTCCTGACACCAGCAACCATTCCCCAAATCATCACCATGGCCGCCTGTCCAATGCTCCTATCACTCAGCACCTCCTGCCAAGTGC